TTGATAATTGAATTATATATTAAAATTAGATTATTTCATGAAGCCAAAGTAAGTTCTGAAAAAAATGACTGTATTCAACATAGATACACCAAATTAATTCATTTCAAACATCAGTAGATAGGCAATAACTTAAATTGTAATATAGATACATTCTAAGTTTTTTAAAACTGTATATTGTGCATACTCACTGTAAGTTTAATAAATATTTTTAAATACCATTCACTTGTGTTTTCATTATAGATGTTGAAAAATATGATGTCGTATAGGTGGTAATAGATAATATATTGTGATATAGTATTGGTTTATTCTCTACCTCCTTAAGTCAATTTTGCATTGTCAACTAGGAGTGTAGCTGTTTATTTTGGAGAGTGAGTATTAAGTTATAATTATCAATCACATAACTAAGAAATTCTATACTACCCAGAAAAACTCATATAATTAGCAATTGACAATGCAAATTGTTTCCTTTTGAAGATAGTGATGGGAAGTATCAAAATATTTCTATAAAAACAGTTATACCTAAGCTTAACTTATGTTAAAAAATAATTAATGCATCAAACTTTTATAGCATAATTCTTCATCTTAAATTATTTGCAGTTTAATTATGTATAAATAATCTAAATTAATACTAAGGGAACTTTATTTCAAACTCATGTAAAATGTTAAACTTATAAATAAGATTATGAGTAAATTATGAGATGGTAACTGAATTTAATCAAATTGTGAAATTATACTACAAAAATTATTTTATGACCACCTAAGCAGAATGTTTTCAAAAATTATGAAATTAAATAACTGCCGCGGAAAAGTTGCGGTTCAGGCATGCGCAAAAGTTGCGGGGGACTTGAAGAAGCAGTTCAAACCTATATGTTTTTGCTCTCTCTGATTGTCACGATATTTACCTACTGTCTTTTATGCAAAGGCTCAATATAGGTTTTATAAATATATGTCGGAAACACGTACCGAGTTGTTTATTTGTCTCCGTCCGATTGTTTTTTTATTTTCTATTACAGTCAATATTTAAATACTACATACATTCCACCCTTTCTTTATAATTTATCTAGTGAGTGTTGTTTTTTTATGTCATTATTTCTGTAATGAAATTGAAATGGTTGTGAAATGAAATTTAAATTACTTGAACTCTTGGAGTTTTGTAACTTCAATATTAAATTTTATTTAAGGTGAAACAGAGCTAATTTTTTTGCAGCCATAATAGTCACATTTGGTCAGATGAAAACCCGCACACTACTCATCGGTTTAGCTTTCAGAGGAGATTCGATGTCAATGTATGGGCAGGAGTATATGGCGATCGTTTAATTGGGTCGCATTTTCTACCTGAACATCTGAATGGGCCGCGTTACTTTCAATTTTTAGTAGAATTGTTTGAAAACCTTCCCCTTCAGATGTTATTGGATATGCGGTATATGCACGACGGAGATCAGGCCCATTTTGCTCGCGATGTCCGTGGATTTTTAGACGATCAATGTCCGAATCGGTGGAGAGGGAGATGAGGGCCCATAATCCTATGGACTTTTGTATATGGGGTTATATGAAATCTGTCGTGTATCACACCGAGGTAGAGAATGTAGAGCAGTTGCGGAATCGTATCGAAGATGCCGCTGAAGAAATACGTAACAACCCTGGTTTATTCCATCGCATCCGCCGCTCATCTATCCAACGTGTACACTTGTGCATAGACGGTAACGGTAATGTATTTGAACATTTGCTTACAGCAAAAAATTAACATTATGATGTTAATAAAAACTGATTTTTGGCAAGGCATGCTCAGACCTCCTCGAGGTTCTTGCTGGGCAACAATAACAATTTAAT